CTTCTATATTACACTCCAATACCACATCTTTATCATCACCTTAACAGAGTGTTCATTATCAGAATACGTCCACTTTATTATTCAGTCAAAATATGTTCAATTGAGTTTTTGCTCAAAATTAAGCAACTTCAATTCTTCATTTAGGCGAATTCGTCAACTGGCTAATCCCTTCCCAAATGAGAAGTAATTAATAATATATTCCCTTCTCTACAAGTCGAATTTGAACCTTTCAACTTGCGCCTAGGAAATGTCTGATGGGAACTGAATGACAGATGTAATATCAATTCAAACTTAAGTACTCAGTTCCTGCGTTGTTTCTGATGCAAGCCACAAATTTTTCGGAAAGTTTTTAAAACTTTATTAGTTTAAAACTATAAACTTCATTAATTGTAAGTCAAGTTTCTCGGATTACAGTGACATTTGAACGGAAGAAAGTGAAAAAAGTTTAATGCAAAAGATATGAAATAAACGTTTGACGCCGTAATCATTTTGAATAATTTTCGGATGTTCACTGTCTTCGCAGTTCAATAGTTGATATTTTCATCGCATTGCAGTCAAAAATGATAAACTACTAATGAAGCATACTTTCGAACTGTAGAATTGTTCATGTAATAAATTTCCTTCATTTCTAATCGTGTAAAAAGGCAATTGAAGATGTTTCTCTCCTTACAATTTGCTTGGTTTTTACTGAACTCTTGATAGATGTTTAATGCTATTGCTTTGCTTACATGTTTCGATCCACTCAGACGGTAATATCACAATCCTCTTGATAACTTTTTACAATGGTGCTTCATTGATTCAACCGTACGTGATTTTAATGCACTCATATAATCACATTTCATTCAGCACAGATCACTTACAACGCTATTAAACTTTTCAAGTTCACGCTGAATGAATTATCTCCACTTCCACAGCGAAAATATCTTCAATTTGATTTTCCAGAACCGATTTTGACCAAGGTAATGAGATTCTGTTTAATGACCTACCATTCAAGATATTCCGACCCTCAGAATTTGTGTTGATTATACGGTGCTGCTATTGATGCTACTGTTTCGTGGGTACTATTTCAGTTTACAACTTGCCACTTTGATCTGCTCGCAAATACTATGATTTGGATCTGTTACACTCTCACTATGACTGCTTTGGTGCGTATGCAGTGGTGTGCCAAGCAAATTCTATGACCACCACAATGATAAAGTGACTTAATTGATTATAAAGTAACACGAAATAGTCATTTGCAAATACTGTGCTATAGAAGTGGCTCTAGTTTGGTATGTGTGCTCAAATCAAGAAGATCATTTAAAATTGTCAGATAACAAAGAAATTGTTGGATTGTGTGTGGCACAGTGATAGTTCTGCTGGAAATGAGTAAATTATAGTTAGGAACCTTCGGAGTAGAGGAACGGAACTGGACGTTGATATGATCGTTTGCGATTAACGGTCGTTCGTCGCTCATGTGAAGGTTCGGCACTAACACACGGCAAAGGTATATCAGAAACCAAACTGTCACTTTCACTGTCCATCCTTCATAACCCACTTGATGTGATAACAATTCGATAGTGTGATCTTCCTTTGCAGCGATTCAAATTTTGATAGCTTTCAATCTGAAGTTCAAGATCAATTTTACTTCAATTTCACTAAATTTTCGGCGAATTTACCACGCACATGCAATTTACCACGCCATTTTTTCCTTCATCTGATTAACGCGGAAGAAATCAAGTGAAAAGAAAGTGAGAAATTGATCAGAAGTATTGAAACAATAAACTTTTCTGGAAATAAAACAACTTAAGAGACAAAATCAAAGTAAATGAAATGATCGACGAGGTTTGGCGAAAAGACATTGCGCCATATGGCGCAATTTAAAGGCGGGAATCTGAAAATTGTGACATTGCATTGTTTTCATTCCCATTTTTTTGTTTTTCGCATGTTATCTTGATTGTTTTCATTTTTATTCTGTTTATTCATTTATCTTTTTTATGTGACATTGTTTTCGTTCCTTTTCGTGTTTATCTTGATCAATTTCCAATGATGATTGATTGCCCCAGTTCACGATCATACATTTAACATGAAGTCGATCACTGGCATTTCGGTACTTTTGCTGTTGACGGTCGCCACCGCGCCATCACTGACGCTCCTATGGTCATACGCTTCACTCGTGAGCCGAAGCCTATGCTTTAGCCTCATCACTGGGCTAAGCGTAAGTCTGAGCTTAAGCATACTCCTGATTCGACTTCGAATTGCATACATACACATCGGGCAAATTGGTAACCTAAGCACATATGTGCGGTGGTGCCCGCTAATAGCAGAAGTGCCTAAAAAATCAGCCTCAGTCACCAGACCAGGCGGTGAAATTTGCTACGGTCGTTTCTGGACTACTACGTGTTTCCACACGTCACCACCTTCTTAGTTAGGAAATGCTAGTTTGCAGTTATTGTCCAACTGTTCGTGTTGGAGTATTCCTTTTGTGCACAGGAAATTAGCGTTCCTGTATTACGATGACTTTTTGTCGGATATTTATATCGATGAGTTTGTTCATAAATGGAACTTCAGATACTGACAAAGTTAATATGGTTAAGGCTAAGAAAATCAAGAGTGCAGCAAAAGAAGATGCGCCGAAGATCGCTGACAATAACAATACGAGTAAGCAAAAGACCGCAGTGAAAAAAGGCAATTCGAAGAAAGCCGTAAAAAATACACGCAAGAAGCCTCTCAAAACTGTGAAAAGTGGTGGTGCTTCATCGGGTCCCAAATCCAAAAAAGTCGAGTTGTCTCCTGCTAAAACTTTACCGAGTCCGAAACGTAAGCAGAAATCTCAGGCAAATGCTGCAACAGAACAGGAAACGAGCAGTGTGAATGGAACGTGTGAAGCAATTTACGAAACTCATCAAGGGATTCAAACTGAAAGTGACTCTGATCAAATCATTGATTCTGCAGATATGAAAGGAAACGGATGTCTCAAGATCATCACATGGAATGTTGCGGGACTTCGTGCGCTCGTTAAGGTGTCGTTCATTTTTTCCGATCCTTTCTAATTGTTCATCTCGTGT